TATAAATATATGTATATATGTATATACACTTATATATCTCAATATACATATATCTACATTCATTTCAAGGTCGCAATTTGTTATGTTAAAATTCGTTTTGGTTTCTGACTCTTCAAGCAAAAACAAAAACAAAAGCAAAAGCAAGAGCAAAAAAAAAAAACAAAAACAAAAAAAATACAAAATACAAAATCCATCCCAACTTTGACCTATTGAAGAGACGCAGCTGTAGACGCGCTCAGACTTAGAATGCAGCTGTATCTCAGTAAATGTATCTGTAGCTTGTAAATGTAACTGTAGCTGAGTAACCACATGTATCTATCTGTGTTTCTGTGTGTGTGTGTGTGTGTCTCTGTGCCCACCTGCCCGACCAAGCCAATTGGCCTCAATAACTTTGGTATTTTCAAGCAACGTGGCGAACGCCCAAAAATGGCTTTTTTTTGCAGCCCAACTTAACTGTACATAGAGAGATATATATACAACATATATATACATACATGTACCTATACACATCTATCTACACCCATATCCATATATCTCTGTATAACTCTACATGTTTTGGCTTGTTCTTGGCCAATTTGTTGCATTGGCTCTAAACATTGGCCAAAACCTCTCCAGATGCTGACCCCGATTCGATTGCTTTTTGTTTCGATGCCCGCCCATAGGCAGCCAGGCGGGCATATTAGTTGACTGGCTTTGCATGTTCGCCGCCCTTCACCTGGTTTTCCACTGTGGGAAGCCAAACATTTGCTGAACTTCGAGTTGGAAGAGAGAAACTTTCTATATTATATATTGATATACTCTAGTATAGTCGCGTATAGCCCAGACCTATGAATACCATTCGTTATGGCTATGGTCTTGGAATTAGACAGCTTAGCTTGTCTACGCTATAGATGGGATCTCTAAATATTTAAATACACAACGTTTTCAGTATGTTGCTTGAACTAGTTCACTAGTGGAACTGGTTCATTTCGGGAATTGGTTCTTGTATATATTTATTCATTTTGTGTTCCATTCTTATTTCTGTGCGCTTTTCGTAGTTCTTGTTGATAACTTGTTCATTTTTTTTAACTAGTTCATAATTTGAATTTATACATTTTGTGTTTCATTCTCATTGGTTTTCGCTTTCCATAGTTCAAATTGGGAAGTAGTTAATTTTGGTCTTAAATTCATTTTGAAATTTATTTATTTTCATTCATGCTTCATTTTCATATATTTAAGAACTAGTTCATTTTGGTAACCTGTTAATTTTCAAATTTATACAGTTTATGTTTCACTCTCATTTGCTTGCGCTTGTGTTGAGAAGTAGTTCATTTTGAGAGCTAGTTCAATTTACGAACTAGTTCATTTTAGTAACTAGTTCATATATTTAGTTTATTCTTATTTGACTCTAAGTATATACGAAAAAATCAATAACAATAGCAACAAATATGTTCCCTCCCTTTCTATAAAATATAACTTTGTAACGGTTCTTTTGTGAACTAGTTCCAAAGTAGTTTGACGCTCTAGCTCAGCAGCTACAAGAGCTAAAGAGCTGTAATTTTGTATGCAACTGAATCGTTCCCTTAGCCACAAATTTATATATAGAAACTTTGTCCAACTGGATATCCTTCGCTATACTCCTCTAATCTCTGCCCTCTACTGCCTCTTGCAGATGGCCGAAGCAGGGATAAGCACAGCAGCCAGCGGCATGGAGCTGGCCCTCAAAGACACCAACCACAATGTGGCTGGCCTCATCGTGGACATGACCCCGACGACGGCCGCCCTGCTGCACCACAATGCCCTGGCGCTGCGCAGCCTGAAGGAGGCGGCCACCGAAACGGAACTGCAGGAGTCGCCGCGCTCACTGGCCACGACACCGACGCCGACGCCAACAAATCTGAGCACGGCGCCCCACTCGCCGCCCATGACATTCCGTTGCGAACGCTGCGAGAACTTTGAGACGAGCTCGCGGGCGTCGCTGCTGCTGCACGTGGTGCAGTGCCTGGCCGGGCAGGTGGTGGCGGTGCGGCTGAAGAGCGAGCAGAGTGACGAGCCGGAGAACATGAGCGTCAGTCACATGGACAGCTGCAAGCAGGAGCTGGCCACAACAGAGGCGTCTGCTGCATCGGCTGCGGCAGCGGCAGCGGCGTCAGCGTCAGCGTCAGCATCGGGAACTGGCGCCGGCTCGAGCTCCTCGGCCAGCTCCTCGCCGGCGGGCAACTCSTCGTCGTCGTCGTCGCGCAAGGTCTTCGAGTGCGACGTGTGCAACATGAAGTTCTCCAACGGCGCCAACATGCGCCGCCACAAGATGCGGCACACGGGCGTCAAGCCGTACGAGTGCCGCGTCTGCCAGAAGCGCTTCTTCCGCAAGGATCACCTGGCCGAGCACTTTACGACGCACACGAAAACGCTGCCCTATCACTGTCCCATCTGCAATCGCGGATTCCAGCGCCAGATCGCGATGCGCGCCCACTTCCAGAACGAGCACGTGGGCCAGCACGATCTGGTCAAGACGTGTCCGTTGTGCAGCTATCGCGCCGGCTCCATGAAGTCCCTGAGGATACATTTCTTCAACCGGCATGGCATCGACCTGGACAATCCGGGTCCGGGTGGCACCTCCTCGCTGCTGCTGGCCCTCGAATCGCAGGCGTCGGCGGCGGCCGCAGCAGCGGCAGCGGCAGCAGCGGCCGCAAGCTATGCACAGCCCCAGGTGGGCCAGGTGGGTCAGCCGACGCTGGCGCCGGCCCAGGTGGGGCAATCGCAGGTGGCGGCCAGCCATCAGAGCGATAGCGGTGAATCGATGCGATCGTTGGAGAATGCCACGCCTCCCATGCACTTTCTGACGCCCCACGTGGAGATCTCAACGCTCAGCGAGAGCGGCAATACGGAGCTGTTCAATGTAAGCGCCATCTACAGTTCAAGTTTGCCATTCACATGCGATCCATCTTTGGCTCATGGGCTTTTAGCTTATTTGCGTTTTGCGTGAATCTTTTCTTCAACAGGGCAACAACAACAACAACAATAACAACACAAATACCAACAACAACAACCACAGCAGCAACTGCAGCAACAGCAACAACAACAGTAGCTCAACTGAACCCGATTCAAAGGAACATTCACTGCTCCTCGCCCCCCAAGAGCTGCCGATGGACTGCAAGGCCACGCCCATCACATCGAGCAGCGGCTCTAACAAGAGCCACGCCCATCTGCATCATCAGCTTCCACACCACCATCATCACCATCATCACGAGAATCACATAACGCCTTCGATTAGTCTAATACCCATCAAACAGGTGAGCAAACGATATCAGTGGATAAAAATTCCAATTAAATTTTGTAACTTCCTCTTTTAATTCTTAATCGCAGGAGCCGGTGTCGCTGGAGGAGGCGGCGGCGGACAAGAAGGAGTCGCTGAATGGTGATGCCAATAGCGATACGGAAAGTGCTGCCAATAACAACAACAACAATAACAACAGCAGCAATAACAACAACAACAACAACAACAATTGCAGCAGCAACAACAACAACAGAGTCACCTCATTGATCAAGGTAGATGAATATAGGGAATATGGAGGGTAATCGAGAGAGAATTACCTTCTATTAGATAATTATAATAATGGGTATTCAAATGATGTCAAATGAGTGCTTAAAGTGGATTTGTGAAATAGTTTGAGAGCAATTGTATAAGAAAAACAAATCTGTTACTTAGAGTACACAGACAGCAACAAGCAATAGCTCTAAAACTGTAAAGTTCACTGGCTGCTAAAGCCAATTTGTGTAGCCAATGAGATCCATCAAGCGAGTGCAATTCAAACTGTAACAGGCTAAGCTGTGACTCCTAAACTGTTGTCTCTTTGAGCATCGCCCTGTAAACTGTGACTACTAAAATGGGGAAAATAAAATACAAAACTATTGTTAACAGTATACAGCTGAAACTCAATTCGTGGGCTCTCAAACTGTAGCATTAGATTAGTGAACTTGCTGGCTTGGAGTGGGCTAAGGGCGTTTGCTTCACTTCAGTCGTTAGTCTCCGTTTATAGTCACAATTTGATGATAATTTCGAGTCACAGTTCACGACAGTCACATTCACATTTTAGAATCACTGTCACTTTAAGCAACAGTTTGAGAGGCTCTATGTTTGGCTCGCATGAGCGTTTAATTTGTTGTAGAGGAAAACACTTTGAGTGGGACTTATGTCCAAGACACGCCCACTGCAAGCACTCGCATTGACATCTAATTAGATTCTAATTGGATAATATATATAATAATGATGCACTCTTTAAGTTAGCGCCACTAAACTAATTGACATAATTCTCTTTTGTTCTCCCTAACCTCACTTTTCTTATTCTTCTTCCTATTCTGTTTCACTCTCTCTCCCGTTTACTATCTCTCGCTCCCTTTCACTCTCTCTATGTATTCTTTTCACTCTCTTCGTCTCTCCTTTTTATTCTTACACTCCCATTTACTTCCTCTTCCTCTTTCACACTATCTTTCTCTCTATCTCTCTCTGTTTCTCTCTCTCTCTCTGCCTCTCTCTCTGTTACTAATTTTCTTCCTTCTCCCTTTGTCATTTACTCTTTCTATCTCTCACTTCTCACTTCTCTTCTCTTCTCTCTTCTTCCACCTCTCTCCGTCCTTAGGTTTCGCCCTTGAAGTCACTTCTGCGTGAGGATCTGAAGCGTCGCATTTGCGCCAAGGCCAACAATCGCATCACCCGGAATGCCACGCCGCTGGAGCACGAGCTGCAGCAGACGATGCTAAATGGGGCGGGCGGTGGTGCGAGTGGCGCCTCGGTAGGTGGCAGCACGGCCAGCACGCCCACAACGCCAGCGGGCGGCACACACAACGGCAACCAGAGCTCCACGCCCATTTGCAACGGGACGATCACGTCGTCCGGGCAGGAGAGCGACCTCCAGCTGAATCGGAAACTGATTCTCACCTGCCATTTCTGTGGCATCGAGTTCCCCGACGAGACGCTCTACTTCCTGCACAAGGGCTGCCACTGCGAGAGCAATCCCTGGAAGTGCAACATCTGCGGGGAGCAGCTCAACAATGTGTACGAGTTCAATGCGCATCTGCTTAGCAAGAGCCATCAATAGCAGCCACAGTTTGGCAGCCACTGACACAGTTTGGCAGCCAATTAGCTGAATAGTAGACGTTATAAGGAAAGATATATACATACATACATACATATATGTATACAGAATTGCATATATATATAAAGTTTGACAGCCACTGATGCAGAAGACGTAGATATATCCAAACGTTGACAGTTTGAGTGCAATTCACAGCTTACGGTAAATCTAGACAAATACGGGCAGAGGTACACGTATAGTAAACAACAGTTTGACAGTCACTGATAAAGAATATGCAACCAAAATAGAATAAACGCTTATCTTATGTTACAGTTTAACAGCCACTGACAGTCATCTTCTAAGTAGAGGCAGAAGCAAAGAAAAATATCCAAGGCAAGAATATGGCATATACTACAGTTTGACATTCACTGACAGCTGACACTCAACAGAATCTTCCATATTTTAAGCAGATTTTAACCGGCTCTACATAAAGAAATTCTAGAGAAGCGTAGCTGACACTGCAGTTTGACAGCCACTGACAAACGATATATCTAACAGCTCAATAAAGGCGGCATCAGTGCAAAAGAAGAAGAACAAGCAGCAAAGGGTGAAGAAATCAATAAATATTACACGCTAGTTTTAAAGTTTATTAAAAATAAAACAAAAAAACAAAAATGTTTATACAACATAAAAAAAACAAAAACAAAAAATACAAGAAACAATGAGAGCTACGTAGTTACCTAATCCCACAAAAACAAGAAGAAGAAGAGCAGCAGCAGCAGCAGCTGAGAAGAAAAGTTGAGCAAACTTACAGTTTGAGAGTTCTTCAAAAGAGTTATCAATAGAGTTGATAGGAAGAACTAGAAAAAGTTGTAAAACCCATGCGTAAATCCTGTTATGTAGTCTTAATTAAAGCAAATTTTTTAGTCTATAGTCGAGTGTAAGAAAGAAAAACAAAACAAGAAAAAAAAAAAAAAAAACAGTAAGGAAAAGAGAAGGCAATAAATTGAACAGCCAGTTTAACTGGCAGATGTTTTTAGTGCGTGCCGCCAACGCCAGAGGGCGCTCTTCTTTTGTAAAACTTAGGCATTTCTTCGATATATACAAGCAAGCAGCTAGACAAGACAACAGATATACATATATACAGATCAGATATATATATATATAGGTATATATTGGTATACAGTCTATATAGTATGTCTGTGCACACTTTTGTCCATATACTTCACATATATTGACCATAACTAAGGGCTTTCAATTTGTTATTGTTTTTCAGAGTTTATCTAGGAACAATAAAAACAAAAACAACAACAACAATAAATTCAATTTAATTAACAGATATAATCTTTATATAGAGTATATATAGTATATAGTATATATGCAAATACTGAATATACACAGTTGTACGTTATAGCCAGAACTCACTGTTTTAGCCAACACACACACACACAGATACAAACACACACACACAGAATTATTATACTCGTACCTTTTACTTAGCTACTAGTTAAACTAACTTATAAAAATTGATATATATATATAGAGAGAGAGATCGATCTATCTATATATCTCTCTCGATATCTATATAGATAAACTTAAGTCTACGAGAGAGAAAAAATTTGCGCTTTGCAAAAGTTCGCAACTTTTTTTCCAGCGTGAAAAATTTTCGCACAGTGCTGCTCAAAAAGATGACTGCATGCGCATACAACAAACTGACACTGTGTCAAAAAAGTATACACACACATATACGTATATATATGATACATATATATATATATATTTCAAGCAATTTTTATGTAACGAAATGCAAATGTGATACGAAATTGTTGTAAATAATTGGTAAAAAAAAAAAACAAAATGATAATGTAGAAAAAAATGTGAAAAATTTTAATTTGTTTAAACTAGAAAAATCGAAAATGAAAAAGAAAAAAAATGATAATGAAAAACTATGCCTTAGATGCCTATATGCGATATACGAAGCACGTTTTGCGTATACACTGTACAAAATGAGAGTAAACTAGCATCTAGTTAACTTTAGTGTTTAAAAATCAAAATTGTGATCCTTAATGTTGCCCTTTCCCTCACACACCCGCACACCGTATGCCTGTAGCTACTCCCATACCCCTAACAACTGTCTCTATTCCTAATTAGGATTAAATACTTCCACTACTCCTATACACTACCCACAGACTCCTACTAGATTCTCTATCTCTACGTCCCGTCTCCTTCCCTTACTCCTAACTACCTCTATTTGCTAAGCCAACCTCTCTCACCTCTCTCACGTTGCTAACATCTCTCGGGTATAGTAGGCAGCCTCTTATTGGGCTGCCTTAACGTAAGTCTTTTAATCAAAATTGTGATCCTTAAAGATGCCCCTACCTACACCCCTACTTGAGAATATCTGCCCTGAGCTAAACCATCCCCAGCACCGCCCCTCATTGACATCACTTGCTAGCTGAATTAACTGAACTTTAGTTTCAAAAATTCATCATTTTGATCTTGAATATAGATCTTCTACCTACTCTACGCCTAAAAAGCTAACAGTCCCCCAGCTATGCTACCCCTAAATCTTATCTTATCCTATGCAGTTTGAGTTCAATTAAATTTAGCAATGCTTTCTAGAACCTTGCCTTGCCTAAAGCTATACCAATCTATCGTTCTATCGTACTACCCTTATCTAGGAAACCCCTAGCCCTTGCGACTTCAGTTTAGTTTCTCTTTGAAGCTGGTGATCCATCAACTAAAACCTCCAACTTCCCTCCCTAACTATCCGCCCTTTTACTAACCTAGCTCCCTTCACCCCCCTCTCTCTCGCCCCTCTTTGACATCACTCGGGGGTTGTATGCAGCCTCTCGCTGAGCTGCTGTGCGCCAATTTTTTACACTTCAGATTTAACATCCGTCCATGAGGTTCACAAAAGCAAAAAAAT